GCTGGCTGGGCCCTGAACAATATGGGCATGGTCATCCTATGTTTCATGCTTCCTACCTTTATTGCTGCTTTCGCTTTTCTGCCCTTTCTACGTCCAGTGCCTCAAACTATCACCATCTTTTCCATCACCATCGGCGCTTTCTTTTCTTTACTCAGCAGCTGCCTTCTGGTGGTTCTATTTCTTCCTGCCTCATTTTTGGTAGGGAAGAGCGACCTCAGACCTTCGCTCAATAACACCCAAAAAAAATTTGAAAATATGCTCCTGCTCCACAACAGTCCTGAGTAATCCTGAACCTTCCTGAGACAGGTTTGGGAAGCTGTCTCGTCAGTACTGCCCTCGTAGAGCTTCCCTCCTGTGCAGTGCTGTAAGTCCGCAAGCAAAGCAGAAACCTACCTGTCCTCTGAAGTGCCAAGAGCCATAGTTCCCCTTGAGTCAAACCAGGACGTGAGTCACATCTCAGTAACCACTTCCCCAGATCTAGTGCATGGAGCAGAGCATCACTGAATGTGGGGGAAGTTTGGGTCTGGATATTAACACTGTTTGTTGTTTGGCTCCATTTGGGGCATATCTCTCTGCAGTTCATTCAACTTCCTTATTTTGTTTTTCTGGATGTTGTTGTCGTAACATAGGTTTCAACTGTTGATGTCTTGAGAATTTAAAGCTGAGCTGCTCATCTATTTGCTCCCAATAAACATTACTGCTGTGCCATGCAAGAGACCTGACTTTGCTGCCAAAGCCATCAGCAGCTGAAAGCTTCTTTTTTCCTTAAAAATTAATGAATTTGCATCAGAAAATAAACCATCCAGCTTTTTCCTTAGGGGACTATCTAAGGCCATACTAAAAAAACCTTATAAAATTGGGTCCTTACTGAAGCTGGCAATGCAATTTTAAACATGTTAGACCTAAGATGATTGGGTTTTTGCTTTCCTTGGATATTTTGGCATACCTGAAGTCACGTGACTTTGTAAAACCGCTGCTTTCCACTGTTCCTGGTCACAAGTACCATCATCATCTGGAGGTATTGATACACTTCTCTGTGAAGAGTGCAGTATATAAGGAGAAATCATGATTTAAAAATAATCCCGCACAGAAGAAGCTTGTAAAAAAAATTTGTTTTCTCAGCAAACCGGTAACCCAAAGCATACAACAAAATGTGTACAAACCCCAGGAATAAAAGCATCAAGTGTTTAGTGCCTTGGCACACTAACCCAACTGATTTGAATCCAGCAAAAAGAACTTGGAATTAATTATTCTTATGTATAGGCTTTTGTACATTTTCTGCCCCTCGTTGCTGCCTCTGCTAAAGAGAGTAGGAACCCTAGGAACTTCACACTGCCGTGAAAAAGGTACCAAAAGATGCTAGGCTCCGGATGGACTTTGGAGACCCTGGATAAAGTTACAATCTCGCTTAATTTTATTTTTATCCTTTTCCCCCCTCCCCGTTCTGGCCTGATTTTTCCATCCCTGGACAGATGAGTCAGAAGAATGGAGAGAAAAAGAATCTGACCTTTTTTGAAGGCTACTAAAGTTGTTGCTGGGCTTGTTATTGTTTGTGTAATGTGCGGCATGTGACAGTGCGGTGATTTCTGGGAACTGCGCGAACCACTACGTGTGTGCCCTGTGAATGTCCGGGATTGCAACAAATGGCAACCACATCTGGAACATCACAAGTAGAGATATCGCATATCTGGGAACCCCAGACAAGTGTTGAACTGCCTCTAAATTCATCCGGGCAAAATTCCTGCGCAGTTGGAGAAAGCACATCCAGGAAAATCAGACATATGGTAGGCTTCCCGCTCACCAGCAGAGCTCTGCTGGCCAAAGTCCTAGAAAGCATCCTGGTAGAGCACAGAAATATCCTTTGCTGATAGAGCTTACTCCGTTCAAGGAGGTGACTCAGGCTGCAAGATCCAAGCCACGTCTTTGCTGATGGTGTCGCCAGCACAGTTTGACCCATTTATTTATACCAGCAAAGCTTTTAACCGGCAGACGAGAGCTAACAACAGTGAGGGCGGCTCAAAGGAAGATCTCCGTGGTTTACTGCAAGTGACAGCTGGTCTCACTATCACTGACAAGAGCTGGAGATGCTGCCAATTTTTTTTCTCCAGCAATGAAGAAAGAGCCGCACCCCAGCTGGAGGAGGACCCAGGAGAGCCTTCTGGAGTAGATGAACAACTCAATGAGCCCAATGCGTCATAAGGGGAAAGGCTGGTACAGGCAGTTTATCAGAGCCCGTATCTGTATTCAGACTCCACCAACAGGGAAAGACAAGCTGAAGGAACCCAGAGAAAGTTGAGACCCTGTTGGAACATGGCACACTCTTCTGTGGATCAAGTTTATTTTTGTGAGCAGGGTTTGGACTGTCAAAGTTCGGGTTATGCTATGTTTTTTCCCTCTCCCAGATGACTCTAACCCTATATCTATACTTCATGATTGTGGCTACAAGCATCAACTTGAATGATGGCAGATTTTAGGAGCAGTGTGGAAATTTTGTTTTTCAGATGAGAAGATTTAAGGCCTCAACCTGTTTTCTCAAAAAGCACAGATGTTTCCCAGTTGCAGGGTAGAAGCAAATTTCAGTCATTGCTTCCATGGGAGATGTATCCAGGTGAGGGGTACCAGGCTGTACTTCAAACTCTTCTGAATTAGCTGTGCGATCCCCACGACCTCCCCTGTGAACGGGGTCCATCTGCCCTGCACAATGATAAAAGGGTACATCTCATCAATGCACTGGTGTCTGCATTTTGTTACAGACAGCGCAACGCATCCTCATCCCAGGGATGGAGCCGTAACATGGAAGTATTTGTTTCAAGAGCTGTTACAGCACAGCAATTCAGGTGCACAGCTGAGTGTGCAAAACGACTCTGCTGAAGAAGATCAAGGGCTTGGCCATCACTGGGGCCAGGAACAGATTTAGCTTAAAACAAGCTTTCTCCCATTTGCAAGAAACATCTATTGCCCGTGCTTCCAACAGATCTTAGTGCATAGTCCAGGGACACTGATGGAAAAACACTGTGCGACTAATTAGAAATCCCAGTTGTGTCTTTGTTCGTTCACGTGTTGTTTTGACAGTAAACTTTTGTGGCGATTCCACTATTCAGTCTCCAAATTTTCAAGCCACTAAGCAGCACGGTATTGCTACGTAACAGACCCCACGAGCATTATTGCTGCTTCGCTACACGTATCGTGACATGGGGAAGTTGAGGGACCTGGTACCAGGTCCAGTGGTGAGCTAGCTGCAGAACTGGATGGGGATGGCCTTTTCCCAGGCTGATGCTTTCATTGGTGAGGATTTTTCTGTACTCCTGTCAAAAGTGTAAATCACGTGGGTGACGCTGGATGCTTGGCACCCACGATTCATCGTGTAGTGCGGCTGCTCAGCGTCTGTGGGAAAATAATTCTAAAAGTGATCTCTTGGAAAGTGGCAGCAAAAAATAGCAAACAGAAAAGCCCGAGCAGTACGGAGGAGACAACAGAACAGGACTTGTGCACTCCTGGGCAGGGACCTGTCCTTTGTGAAGCTCTAATAGTGTTGGCAAGGTGGGCTCTTGAAACGTTTGACTTGGGTAAAATGGAGCTATTCCCTTTGGGGCAGTGAAGAGCTGGCACAATTCTTTAGGGCCATAATAAGTCTGAATTGCTCCTTTGTGTTAAGAGCAGGCACTTATGAGGCCCGTGTTTCAGATCAGAGTGAAAACCTTCCGAGACAGCTAGCTTTATAAGTTGCTTTTGTTCAGCTGAGACTGATACTTTTCTGCAGCCTCGACGGTGGTGAAAATTATACCTTCTTGACTGGGAGGCAGGAGAGCAGAGGGAGAGATGCCGTGCTGGTGTGCTGATGCTGTTGAAAAGTTTGTCGCAATTGCCAAAAAGCATGAATTATTTTCTTCAGTGATACTTTTGCTTCTTGCTGTCAAACCCAAAATATGTTGTCTGCCTTGCAGCCAACGGGGTCAAACGCTGAAAAAATGAACTCCCCGGGCTCCCTAAGGAGCGTGTGCTATGCTTAGCTGCTCATCACAGCTAATTTCTGCTGTGTGGGTGCAAGGAGGGGCGGCCAGTTCTGCTGCGCGTGATGCGCCCACGCTCGGTGCACAAAGCAGACCAGCGTTTCTGTCCCTCGTTGCGGTGGGTCCCACCCGAAGTTTTGTGTCCCACTCCGTTTCTAGCTGCCCGAACAGTATATTGTGATTTCGATGTGCTGTGCGTTGCAGTAGTAATAATACAAATAGAGGACAGGTTTTTGCACCGTGAGCAGAAAGCTGTGCATGGCAGGTCGATAAAAAATAAAACCACTGCCTGTTCTTACAAGGTAAAAACAAGAAGAATTGCTGTTGAGGCAATGGTTCCACTGCCACTATCCTAAAACCATATAAAAAGTATGGATGGCCAGTTCAGGGCTGTAGTTGATGGTGAAAGATACAGCTCTGTAAAGCTGATGCAGAGATGGCAGCTCTGTCTGCAGACCAGAGGAAATATTTTGTGGGGGCCAGGGTAAACGTGTTTTCCACATTTCAGCCCTTTCTGTAGCGGTGGCTGGGTAAGTACCATTCTTTCAGTTCAGTGGGTGCTGTCTTCAAGGAACACTTCTGAGATCCCTCTTTTGCATCTTTGAGGACAGATGGACACATCAGATGGCAGTTTTCCATCACCCGCCTTTGACATGTGATCTGAAGATGAAAAATACCACCTTTCAGCCTCGTTGTCCTATAGTCACCTGGGCATAGAGATCTTTCCACCTTTAAGTAATAAGGTTTCCTTCTCCTCCATGTGTTGGAGCAGCTCCAGAACAAACTCAGCCATACTCAGGCTGTATTACCTGTGAATCGTGGCCTTACCTGCATGACGTCCTAGCCTCCTTGTTGGCTCCTGTGGGAACAGGACAGGATGGGTGACGATGCTGTCAGGGTTGAGTGTACCAGGGAAGTGGCCTGGGAGTGGCTGGTTGGGATGGGACTTCTTTGCTTTCCCATTCCAACAGGTTTTTTTTGCTCTCCTAGGGACCAGAAGGGAAACCAGGAAAACAAGGGGAAAAGGGCAAGCCTGGCCAGAAGGTAGGAATATCTCCCATTGATAACATCTCCTTCTCTGGATCGCCCTTTCTTAGCTCATCTTTGACATTTATCCGTAGAAGCAGTTTTGTCCTACGTTAATGTCAGTGCTTTTGTTCTGCAGGGCAGCAAGGGCTACCAGGGGCAGCTCGGCGAGACAGGATCTCCAGGGAAGGAGGGGCCGAAGGGCAACCAAGGCCCTAAAGGATCCCGAGGTACCCTAGGACCTATGGTGAGAAGAGCTCTGCAAATGGTTGAACACAACACACAGAAACATGACGAGCAGTGGTGGGCACAGGCCTGAATGAAGCAGAGAGTCCAGCAGAGGCCTCAGAGCACAGAAAGTGAAATGCTGTTAGATGGGTTTGATTGACCGAAACAGCTTAGCACTTGGTCTGAGCAGCATGGGAGAGGCTCCATAGTGGTGGTAGTGTTGGTGCCCCGTGAACCCAGCTCAGGTTGCATCATGTCGGTTCTTCCCAGCTCCCCAGATGGGCTGAAATATTGGGGATTTTTGCTGAGAAGGGAGTGAGCTGATAAGCTATTTTTTGCTAAGATCTTTCCCTTTGAGACTGCACGCTCATGGTAAGAGCTGCTTCCAAGTCAAACTGCGTTGTTATAAGGAACTCTGCCTTGGACTTCTGCCCTGTTTCTACACCCACTCTTGATCTACTTATATAAAACAGTTGCAGCAAGAAGAAATATAGCATGGGAAAGGGTTTGAGTTGGGTACTGAAGGTGAGGCTTTCAGAGAGATCAACAATAGTATGGTAGAGAGGAAAGAAAGTTAATTTGTTTTAGGCACATGAGAAAAACGCATTGGGACAGCAGCAGTAAGTAGTAAGTACCTCCTCGTGCATTGCAGGCTGGTAAGGAAACTTCTTGCACTATGTTTGGTAGAACTTAGTGAAAAAGCAGTTGTTATTTATGAACCGGGAATCATGGTGAAGTTTCAGAACAGTAGCAAATGGAGCGATGGAGTAATGGTTCCGCTGATAGTGTTTTCCTGCACTAAAAATTATGGCCTGCCCATATATCCTCCCTTCATATTCTTTGGCAAAGTCTCCATGGATTTTTTCACAAGGAAGCAAAGCAATATCTGAGCAGCAGTCTATTGGATTGAACACATCTCTGTCTTGTGGAAAGGGCTTTCTTCCACACTAAATGGGATTATATAGAAAGCTTGCAATTCACTTTAATCTGATGATCTGATTTAAAACCTTTTGTTCAGTCTGCTAAAGATGCAATAAACAGCTCTTGCAGTGCCCTTATCACAACCCAGAAAACTCCTTTCTTGGTCTCAGAAACCACACTGGAAGGTCTCCTCCCAATAGTTTAGGATTAGGTCTTGCATGAGAATGGTCTCACTGGTGGACTTCCTAGCACAAAGCTAATTTGGATATAAAGATGTCCAGAAGGGCAGATGAAGAGCACACACTATGCAGCCATTTCTGGTGGCAAATCTGAATGAGGTTGGGGAACCTATTGCTACAGGGTGGCAAGACATAGACTGGACTCCTAGCATCACTCCCCATGTGTAAGATATTAAAGCCAAGTGAGAGCATTTCAGATAGCTGCAGCAAAGTTCACTGGTGGCCAGGAGAATGGGTGGCCATACTCCCATGTCGTGCTGAGCTTTGCTTCGCATAGCCCGGTGCATCCTCTTCTTGTGGGGTAGTACCCATGGGCTACACTCATGGTGCTTTCTGTGCTTGGCTCTCCAGGGTGCTCCAGGAAGAATGGGTGCTCAAGGGGAACCTGGCTTAAAGGGTTACCAGGTAAGGATTTTGGTTTCCTCCTCCAGCTTCTATCTGTTCTCAAATGCAACAAAACTGCCACTCCAGGATGCAAAATTGTTCTTAAACTATCATTTATTTCTGATATTGAGTTCAGTTTAGTTCTTTCTGTAGTCTCTATTTGAACCATCACAACTTCTCCAGATGCATTTGGTGCATCTCTGCCGTGACCCATGTGTCCCTCCAAAGCTGGGATGCACAACATGGAGCTCGTGAGATCTGGCAGGAAACCATGGATGACCTTCAGTCAAACAGCTCTTCCCTGTCTCCTCACATGCTGTCTGCTCTCCACAGGGACATGCAGGACCACCAGGGCCAATTGGACCACCAGGGCCAAAGGGGGAAAAGGTAAGTTCACAGCGTTTTGCCACCTTGTCTTCCATTGACATGGAAGCTGAGCTGATGTAGAGACAATTGCCCCACTGCCATGACACCCGTGCATCTGTGCTCTCCTCCTCCACCTGCGGCAGAGGTGCCTCCTCTACAGCACGGCCACCTGCATAACTCCTGCTGCAGCTTTGCTTCTGCAAATCAGCACTGGGACATGCTAGCACGTGCTTTCCAGACACCATATGCCCTTGCACTGGTGGCTGAGCCAGCCAGCATGAGTTCCAGGGACGCGTTTCCTGCATCCACAGAAATTCTGCTCGATCTGCAAGCCAGAAGTTATCAAACTAGTAGCTTTCTGTGATCGAGTCAGAACAACACCCCGCAATAACTAGCAGATCTTCAGCAAGCTGTCCGTCTGTGCTTAAATCAGCCGATAGCGTGTTGTAAGCGAGGCAGAACTGGTCTCCTCTCCATTGCCCTTCCTCCGTTTTTCTCATCGCCTGCCACCCCCTCACCTCGCTCGTCCCCCTCATCCCTCGACCGCGCTCCCTTGCCGCAGCTGGCCTGAGTCAGAGCCCTCTTTCCACGGCGGCTTTCCCCTTGTGTTTTTCCCCTTTTGCTGAGTCAGCGTGGCCATAACCAGTTCAGGCTGGAGAAGTGACTCACGCTTTAATGGTTTCCTGTCGGCGGAGCTGGCTGCTCCGCGCTCTGAGGACGGCCCAGCTGGCGTTGGCTGTACTCGCAGTGCCGCTGGAGCCCCTCACGTGCCTTCAGGAACGGCAGCGATGCCCCTCCCTCCCTGTGGGAAGGGAAGTGATGGTAATTGGGACTGGTTGGTTCTGGGGTCCCCATGAAGGTGAAAGATGCGTGAACTCTTTTCGCTCATTTTCTACCTCCCCATTACCAAGAGAGCTTTTGGCATTCCCTCTGCACACGGATGTGATTGCAGCTGTACGTGTGCAAGCAGGAGCTGCGTTGCTTATAAAAGGAGTTTGTGGGACGGAGATCATAGACTCATAGAATGGTTAGAGCTGGAAGGGACCTTAAAGATCATCTAGTTCCAACCCTGCTGCCATGGCCAGGGACACCAAGGGCATGTCTTTGCTGGGGCTTTGAATGTGTCCTTTCAGCTCAAGCTCCTGGGTGTCAGGACACCCAGTTCACGCTGCTCTCTGTGCTCTGCCAGAAGACTCCTGGTGCAGCAGTGAATCACTGTGCTGGTGGCCAGCAGTCAGTGGGGCAGGGTGAACTCTTGTGTTCCACTAAGATATTCACATGCCTCAGAAATTTTGCTCCAGGGATGAACAATGGCCGTGCTGCTTTTCCTCTCGTTTCCTGCGGCTGAAGCACATCCGTGGCACAGGCACAGCTGGGGATGTTCCTGCTGCCCCACATCTCCATCACTGCCTCGCTGAATTTCCTCTCCACCCCCAGCCTTTCTAACGCTGCCCCAGCCGCTTCCCGAGCTCCACCTCTTGCTCTTCCAGACATCAGCAGCATTACTCCTCAGGTGTACTCTGCCGACTGGCCGTGTGGGAAGTGGCAAGTGTTAGCCAAGCACAACCAGCCCAGGATAATAATGCGAGAGCTCACGACCAAGCACGTTGCCAGCTGAGAGCCTGGCCAGAGGTTTCTCAGTCCCACTGTTGAAACTCGAGCACCCTGGCAGAAAGTTGTGAGTCGTGATTACCAAAAGCAAAATCAGCCATTGGCTTTACAGCAAGGAGTAAGAGGTGTGCAGATATGTCTCTCTCTTGTTGAAATTAAGACTGCTGCTTTATTTTAAAACATTGAAAGTCGCCATCTTGAACGCTCACATCATTTCAGTAGTAAATGGTCCCCAAATTATTAACCTGAAGTGTTCAGTGAAGCACTCTCCCCTTCACCAACAAAATATTCTTCTGCAAATGGACACCAGAAGAGCACTTTCTCAGAAGTAACATGGATCTTGTGTTATCAGAGCACAGCAACGCTATGTAATACCTTAACCAAGGATGATAAAATTCATTCTATATCCAAGTATCCAAGCCGAAGCCTGACAAAGATATCAAAGCATCTTATGCATCGTGCTGAGAACAGTCAGATCTGTTAATGACCATTGAACAGCCAGATCTCACTCACGTCTTCCCCGAAGGTCAGCGGGTCTACAGCTCCTTGCTGGGGAGCAGCTCCAGTTGAACGAGGAGAGCCCAGCATCACGTGCTGAGCCTCCAGCACCGTTTCCTGAAGCAGCCAGGTGCTCCACAAAAGTCTGGCATCTAAGTTGTCTTATCCATCCTTCCTTCTTATCTCCTAAGAGTTGCCTGGATCCCAGCCTAAGGATAGACAGATTCCTGCCCTCTGGACATCTGTAACCTTGCGCACGCGTGCGATCATGAAAATGGAAGCCTGAATCTGAGAAATTAAGAGGAAATGAAAATACGACCATGACTGTTCTGTGAGCTTTAAACAACGTGGTAAACATAGCCGTGCTGAAGCAGGAGGATATATAATGGTGGGGAAGGTCTTCCCTTTTCCAGAGAAGAAAGCAGCTTGGTGAGAGGCATTATTGTGGAATCCAGCTCCCTTGTGCCATGCCAGCAAGCTACTCCGCCGCATTTAATACATTTACAGCTCCTCAAAGAGGCCTTGCTCAGAGCAGACGCCTGCACTTGGCAGCTGCTTAAAGCAGTCCAGATGGGATCCTTTTAAAAATTACAAACTGGTGTATCTCACTTTGGGACGGGAGCCAACAACAACAAGACTTCCCTTCTTCTCCATGCATTTTCCATTTGTATCCCAACATGTTTACTTTGCTGCCCTTTACTCTAACTTTTTTTCACTGCAACTTTCCAAAGAATTAGCGCGGACCTTTCATCTCCCTCTTGAGCAGCTGAGGCACCAGGAAGTCCTGGAGGAGCTCAGCCTCACAGTCCTAGAGCTGACCGGTCCTGCAGGATTTTCGCAGTCAGAAGATAAAGGACAAGGTGGGCATTAGACTCAAGGGGATACAAAGCCACAACCCAGCTTTGAGGACAAAGCGTGTAGGTCTTGATGCTCTTCAAGAGTCCCCAGAATTATGAGCTTTCCTTGAGTTCATCACGCACGTCTCATCTCCCAAATGGCGAGGTGTTCACATCCTGTTTGAGCAGAAGCATTCAGTGCCAAGACTTCTGCATAGTAACACGTATAGTGGGATTTTTCTTTTTTTCCTGAGACTTGAGAAATGGTGGCTTTGTCTCCCTTCTATCCTACATTCCTTTGATAGTGGCTAGAAAGCTAACCAGCTGCCAGGTATTCTGCTGCAGACTTCAACCAGCAAGTTCAGTAGCGCTGGAAACTGTTGGCAAAGCCTGTTAGGCATTGTTTTCCTTTCTCTCTACTCTGCCACCCAAATTTCTCCATCCATATTTCTCAGTACTATAGTCTCAAGCCACCTTGGCACAGTTTCTCCCTATATATTTCTTCTACCATGATACCTCTCCAAAACCTCAGACCGGTGTGCTGGAGTTCACCACCCAGCACACAATCTCTTAACGACAGTATAACCGTAACCTGCGAGTATGTATGAATCCCTGACAACATTCCTCCAACAAATGTCGCAGCAGCAGAGAAAGAAAATGCTACTGTCATCAAGCATGTAATGGAGAGGTACGCACCGAACTTTTTGCTACCTGTTGAGGTTAACTGCAAGAGATTTTGCCAAAACTTGAGCCTCATTCTACCAAGCTGTAAACGTCAATACTGGTGCTCAGCCTGTGCAAAGCCAGTGTGGGTCAGCCTGTCTCTCTCAGCAGTGGCACAGCCCTGATTCCAAACCATGACCCACGTCCTACAGAAAAGAAGCTATTGGCTCCACTGTCTGAGTTTTCTCACTGAGGGTTAATCACTGCTCCAAAGGGGTTATTAACAACCATCACATACAAGCAAAGCACCCCAAATGCCTTCTCCCAGAGGCAGGATCACTGAGACCCAAGGACCCTTACCATCAGCAGCTGCCACTCAAAGAGAAGATGAGAGTAGCCCAGAGAGAAAGTCAAAGATGGTCATAAATACACCAGAAAGGGCTGATGCAACCTTTGTTTCCTGTGGAAAACTTGGCTCTGCATAGCTATGGAGATTTGAGTGTTTAAGGCTCTAGGATCACCCCAAGCAGTCCAAACACAGCAGCTCCATTGTGCCAGAACCCCCCAGACTTCTTTTCTCTAGTAGCTGCAACATCAAAGAAGCTCTGAGACATGTTCATCCTAAGGAGCCAGAGTGCCAGAGACTCAGCGATATGAAGTAGCCAAAAACTGGAGGAGCTGGAATGTAGCTATCTTCTATGGGGACCAAAGAAACAGCCATCTCTGAGCTAGACTCAAGAGAAAATAGGACACCATGACCCCAAGTGACTTACACAACTGAATTAAAAAAGGCAGTGTCTGTGTTAAGTCCTGAGCGATCTCTCTATGGATGTTTTAGAGAGACCTCAGTTATAAATAATCCGGGTGATGTTACCTACCAGCCAAACCATGAGCCCTGAGCTCCCATCAACAACAGGAGCTGCTCACACAGCAAGTGTGTAAGGAGCTGACCCTCTCACCTGATCAATTGTAAGACAAGCCCACAATGGTGGCACACAACCGGGGAGCCCATCCAGACCACCCGTGTTCCCTTGACAGCCCAGGCAGCACTCAGTGAGGGCGGGGAAACGCTTGATTAAAGAGTTTAGTTTGACTGTCAGCAATAAAATTCAGAGGCAGAGAACTATTTCCCATATTGTCCTAATTACATGCTTCTTGCTTAGTTTTAGGAATTGTTGAAAATAACTCTTTGCACCTGGTTCCGTAGGGAGGAGAGTTTGACCAGACAGAAACAACCACCAAAGAAACCAGGAAAGCAATGTGAAGAGTTGGTGTACTCCAGGTTATGAAAAAACTATAAAAAAAAATAATAATTTAGACTTTCTTTGGATGAAAAATTAGTAAATTCAACAGAAGCTTTGACTTAGGAGCCTATGATATTGTTGGACTGGATTGGGTCTGTACAGAAGTATCTGCTGTCTATTAATACTAGCATTTTTATTCACAGGGAGAACAAGGTGATGACGGGAAGGTAGAAGGCCCACAGGGACCACCTGGAGACAGAGTAAGATGTTAAATCCCTTCTCAAATCAATCCTGGCCTGATTTTTGCAGGTGGACTAGTTGAGTTTCTTCCTTACTTGTAGAACATGCACAAGCCATTGAGATACTGCAGATGACAGACTGTTTACATCCACCTTAAGTCTTTGTTGTATTGTTGTAGGGCCCCGTTGGTGACAGAGGTGATCGAGGGGAGCCTGGAGACCCTGGTTATCCTGTGAGTCTTATTCCAAATACTGGATTCAGAAAAGTTTCTCTTGAGGAAGTGCTTCCAATGTGCATCAGCCCACAGAAGGTCTACCCTTTGCCCAGTAGTCACGATTCATAACCCACTGTTGTGCGTTGTCAACTGCTGCATACGGGCGTGTTTCAAACGAGGAGCAATTCAGATATATTTACCTAAAGTGGTAAAACCTTTGCTGAAAGAAAACGTAGGTCCTGCAGGTCAACATCTCACAATGCCATGCTCCTGCCTGAGCACAGTAGACTGAATGAATAAGCAGGACTATCTCGTTAGAGGTATTTGTGATTATTGAGGAAATACCCTATGGAAGATGTGTACAAGAAAGGTCATGTAATTGCTGGACAAAATGCAAGACTGATTTTCCCATGGCTGTAGTCTTTCATGGGAAGATCTCTGTTAATTTGGAGGATTGGAAGCTTCCAAAATCTTATCAGGATTTCTCTCTGAAGATGACCAGGGTTGTGAATGATTTCCCTGTGCTCCTGACACCCTCTTTGCAGGACAGTTCCAGCTGATTGGTGTTGATCTCCAAAGGCTCTATGGATTAAGTCTTACCTCCATCCAAAAGCAGCTGGTCAGAGAGACCCATTACAGTAGTGTACAGAAGAGTTTCAATTGACCAGGGTAGCAGCGCTCCTGCCTTATTTTTGTAGGATAGCAGTCTCCAACTGTTCCCCTACACTAATGCTGTGTGTATTTAGGGGTGCATTAGAAAGCCTTCTTTACTGCTTAGATGGTGATTAGCAGTTCCTCTTAGCTGTTTCTTTCCAATGCATATCCATGGGAACATGTACACTACCTGCAAACTTCAACATTTCTATATTAGCAGACCGCAGATATTTTTATCTTCTCCTGCCCCATACAGCATGTTACATCCATTTTTGTTTCCTATTGCCACAAAAGTACCCAAGAACAAACACATGTTCCCTCTCTGTTTTTTATTTAAGGGTCAAGACGGGCTTGATGGAGAAAGAGGAAAACCTGGACAGCAAGGCTTACCTGTAAGAGATGCTGCTTTATTGTAAGCTACCCAATGTCGCATGCATGTGCAAAACAGATGCAAAAAGGAAGAAAGGTAGGAAGGGCTGCAGTAAGGAGTGTGTGGTGAGCTGCGAAACGCAACATGTGCATTTCCATAAGCCAGACCTATAGAATGGGCATTCTGAGTCACATGTTGAGACCAATAAATGGGTGACAGAACAGGGAGCGGTCCCAAAAGCCTGTCTCCAAAACTGTGTTTTCTGAATCATCCAAGAGGGACCAGAAAGCTTAGGAGATGGACAGTGCAAGATGACAATGACGGTGGAAGGGTCTGCTTAGAAATGATACATCGGGCATGCTACAGGCGAGAGCTGGTCCATTGCGAGGCAAGATCATATTATTCTGCCTGCGTGGTGTTTCCTCTCAAACCAGTGCATTTATGAGAGACTAAATTAAATGCAAATTTAAGGGAAGGACTTTGTATTCCCTTGCGTATATACAACAGTGTCTAATTTGTATATGTGACTATTGCAACTGTGAGTGCAGTAGCACATTAAATGTAGTTTACTGGGAAATAAAGTTGAATCAATTCCCATTCTTTGTGCGGCTGCTGGGAAGAACAACAGATTCTATTTTGGGGTAAAATCTTAGTGTTCAGTCATATGGCCTAGAAATGGGTAGAGCTGCTGCATTCCCCAGTGGATGTAGTTCATTCTGAGGGGTGGTATCCCTGCAGATGTCAATGTTTCAGATGGAAGCAGGAGCTTTGGATTGTCTTTAGAGCCATTAGAAACACGTGGCTCAGAAACAAGCTGAAGCAGCGTTGTTAGGCCACAAAAAATGCTGTTCTTTATACTTCATGCAAGACACTGCCAGAAGAGAATTTCAAGCAGATTTTCCTTTGCTTATGTTTTGTAGGGGGATGCTGGACCACCAGGCCAGCCAGGAGCAAAGGGATCCAAAGGTGATGTGGTAGGTTTCGGCAGGGTGGATTTATAGTGTCCCAAGTTTAAAGAAACTGTCTAATTAAGAGGATTCTCATGTTTTTCCCCAGCATGTGTGATTTGGCCTATGGTCTACGCCTTGAAAGACTATGGAGAACCTAGTGGGAGGGCTGTAAACATGTATTTGAGTGTCCAAGCCCAATAGTTTGTTGGCTTTGTGGAGCTGGAGAAGATCAAGACAATTACAGCTCCAGCACGATGGGTGAATCTTGGGCAGGTCTTTAGTCATTGCCATGGGTTGTGTCTCTTTCCCATGCCCCTGTTTGTGGTGCCTCCAGCCACAGCTGGCTCATCTGTCCCTAAGGAGGTCTGAGCCAGGCAAGCCTCTCTCTCTTTCACTTGAACCATAAACTTTTCTGGCTTGAAACCGTCCAGATTTGGAATCCATTTATCCATGCAGTTGTTATGCTTCTTGGAAGAGTCCCTCTAACTTCTTGCCCGCATTGAGCTAGAAAACACAGCACACACAGGTCCTTCAAGGTTCATTGGGGCACCTCATACCTACTCCTACCTCCACATCTGGCTATAATGACAGCTTGCTAATTATTCTCACAGATCAGGGACTTTATTTGCTAAAACGTAAGTATGTGACCTCAATAGTCAGCAAATTCCTGCTCCCTTTTGGCAGATGTCCGGATTTTTAATCTGACCCTGCTGGGGTAACGCCAGAAGATAGTTTAACCTACAGTAGGTGTTCTTGGCAAAAAGCGTACCAGGCGATAAGATAAATAAACTCTACCCATCGATGGACAATCTGGAACTGCCTTTGGGTCTAATGAATAGCAGAGAAAGCACCCCCAGGAGTATTTCTTTCATGTAGCTGGCCTGCCCGGTCCTCTGCAGATGGAGAAACAATGCACAGAAAATGCAGTGCTTCAATTTAAAAGTGTTTGAGTACATGACCTCACTAAGAAAGCCCTAGTGAAGGTGATGAGGCTGAGTTTTCCATTCATTCTGCAGAAATTAATCCTTTTTACAGCTAATAAACCTCAGGAGTATTTCTTTTATGGCTTTATTCACAAAGCAGCATTGCAAATTTTAGACGCAAGATACCCTTTTCATTTCCATTAACTTTCCAAAATAGAGAGAGCTACCTCACAGAGAAAAGCTCTTACTGACCGCCCTGCAGAAGACTTGCTGGGTCCTTGGTTCGGCACTGTGCTGTCAATGAACTGACAGAGGACGCAGGTTTTAAGCATCTTGTTCTAATGTTTGCCAGTGCACTGAGTCCTCCCTCGAGTTCATCCTGCTTTATTTGTCCTCATCTGCTCTGTATTAGGAAAAATGTAGGTCCTTGCCTTCTAGCTATTCATTCCTGCCCTAGAACTCTCAAGACATACGAAGAATCGCTTGTAATAAAACCAAATAGCAGTTCATTCCCCAGTGTTGGAGCAACTGACTTTATAAATCTCCTTTTTATAAAACTCTTTCCAACCATTATCCAAAAGCACACCCTGAAGTCAGGCTCCCAAGTGGAGTTGTGCTAGAACTGCTGCCATTTTACATGTCTCTTTTTTGACTTGCAGGGTCAAAAAGGAAAGCAAGGAGCACGGGGCAATGCAGGGAGCAGAGGCTCACCGGTAGGTAAAAATTCAATATTCTGCCCCAGCAAATGCTGTCCAGGAGCTCCATCACTAACACCTTTGTGATTTTAGGGCATCCTTGGGCTACCAGGTCCTCGAGGAGTGGTGGGACGGCAGGGTCAAGAGGGTGCCCCTGGAGCAGACGGAGTGCCTGGGAAGGATGGCGTACCTGGGATGCTGGTGAGTTTGCAATTGTAACCTTATAGCATCGATAGCAAATGCAGCTGAGGAGCTGGAAAGCTAAAAGGTAGCACAGGAGAAATGGATGTAGTCCAGCTGTAGATATTGCAGTTTACGTGTACCCAGAGTGGATCATATGCTCCTTTTCATCTCTCACATGCACATAGAGGCAGCAGTTGCCTTTGCTTGGCCGAGTCTGTAAATAAACCAGTGTTTCTAGCCCGACAGGTACTTGCATGCACAGACTTCTATATACATCTCTGCAAATCCACCCGTGCCCAGATGCATGGTGCTTGCTGAGGGCAAAGTCACACCACTTCCCCACACCTCCAGCAGCTGTGCAGAGGTGGAAAGAGCATCTTGTTTCATAACTTCTTCTGGGTTTCCTTTCTAGGGAGAGCAGGGTGATGATGGGGAAGAAGGTGTGACAGGGATGTCAGGCAAAAGAGGCAACCCTGGCATACCGGGACTCCCTGGGGCACAAGGACCACCAGGATTCAAGGTGAGTTTCTGACTCCCTTAAGATACTGCTATGAGCCATCCAGTCTGTGAGCCTCTTGTCTCTAAAGCTTGGATTCTCCAAGGTCTAATAAAACCCAAACTCCTGCTGCCATCTTTCACTTAGCTAGAGGCTCAGTAGATCTTTCTCATCATCCATGTATCCATCCATCCATCCATCCATCCATTGTCATGACGTTCGCAGCAGCTGAATGTCCCAGAGACTTTTCCTCTTTTGTCAAAGTTCACTGAGGTCGGGAGCCTACAGATACACATACCCACACTAGGAACCTTTTAGCCTTTTTTCCTTAGAAACCTGGCTAAAAAAATATGGCCTTGGAGAAGTTGCAAAGGAACTGCTGCAGCCTGCCTGTAGGATGTCCAGGAGGGATGACTCCTTGGGAAATTAGGGTGTCCTCTAGCTGCTGCCCTGCAAGGCCTGAACTGCTGAAGGGAAATTTGTGCCGCTTGGTTTTTGGCATATATCTACTGGATTAGAACGGCTGGAACCAGTATGGGCTTGGACATTCTCTGAGTGGAAGCAGGGACAAGCTGCTTTAGTGACCTTGGGATTTCTTCCTGGCTCTTGCCCTGGTCCGGGCCAGCCTCAGGATCTAAACTGGACCAACAGCATTCAACCATTTGGAGAAAGACTCTGTAAATGTGAAGACTCCAGCTGGGTTTGGAGAGGCTATCAGATCTAATTTAAATTATGCCTCCCATAAACACATCACTCTTAAACTGTCACTTGCTGCCCTCCAGCTGCCTTGGGTAGAATAACAGGCTGTTACCAGAAATGACTGAAAGACCCTTGTGTCCTTATGACAGACTCATACCCTGGCTCCAGGAAAATCTGTTGACCCTTTTCCAGGTGCTCAACCATCTCACCGCCTTTGGTCCTCTCTCCCAGTCTGCCCCAGATCGAGTAGCTGGGGCTTGTGCTGCTCCTGGCCCTTGGCAAGGGGAAGAGGTGGGGAGCAAAGTGTGGTGCTGGGTCTCGGAAGCTCCTCTCTTGTCTTTAAGTTGCGGAGTTGGTGCTGGGGAAATGTTAGCTTTGCAGCCTACTGGATTGAAGTCCTCCAGCTGAAGTCTTGGCATGTCTTCAACATTTTAGATGGATTAATCATCAATTGCTAGTCTGCTGCGGGGAAGAGATTATGAGAAACTGCAGGGCAGGACAGATAACATCGGGAAGTGCCAACAGAAGACATGTCAGCCCCTTGCTGTCCTCAGCCCCGATGCAGGCAGTACAGCTCTGCTGAAGCTCCTGCTCTGCGTGAAGCTCAGGAGGGGACGCAGCCGTGCCCATCGCTGGTCTCACACTGTGCATCCTGCTACCATCTGCCTTAGCAGACCTGAGGCCTCTCCTGATGAAACCACATTCCTTATCCCGATGAGCCACTCTTTTCCAGCTTTCCATCTATGGCTATTTCAGCTGAGTGTTGTTATATTTAGCTCCTGTCCTTTGGAATTACTTGAATTCTGTTATTTTTAGGGTGAAAGAGGATTGCCTGGACAGACTGGCCAAACAGGGAAGCGAGGATCATCAGGAGGAACGGGCCTTCCAGGGACCCCTGGCAATCCAGGACCCAAAGGACAGCCGGTTAGTGATGAAGGGAGCTGATCAGACCTGACTTCAAGCTGTCTTCTTCAGGAAAGGGTGCAGATCCACAGGCTGGGGTAGCAGGGTGAACCCTGGCAGGATCTTTTACAGGGGAACCCATAACCAGCTTGTGCGTGAGCACAGGAGCGTCAGCACAGCTCTCTCCACTGTGTGTGTTTCGCTGCTTGCTTGTCCACAGAGATGTCTAATCCATGCCTGTGGTCCCCAAGACAGCGTGACCGTTCACGTCATCCTCGTGCCTGTGGTCACGAGGCCGTGGTGTGTGCTGGCAGCCGCGCTGCAGAGCCCTCTCAAACAGCCCTCAGCAGTGTCTTCAATGAGAGCTGTTACGAGAGGGGTGCGTGGAGCCTGTGGGAGGTGTTGAGTGTCGGAGCTGAACTATGCGCTCTGAGCCATCCGAAAGGTGCAAAGGGGGGGTCTGTAGCTCCACGGGGACATGCCAGGAGGTGCAGGAGCAGGCATCATCGGTGCAGTTTTGAGGGCGGTGGAGCTGCGAGTTCAGAGCACACTGCGGGAGAAACACCGAGAGCCCCTGGTGCAAGCAGAAGTTAAATTCCCACACCTGTGCCCAAGGCAGGCTCCTAATCCTTACTACTTTTATTTATTGTACTGGTGGGGTCACCCAGTTTAGCACAGATGTGTCACACTTTATCAGCCTGAGGCTATATTGAGAATACTGCAGTTCTATAGACTGGGAGCTTTTTAAGGCCAGAAGACGCTCTCACAGAGTCTCACAAGGGTATAACTACTTAAATTCTTTAGATGTGCTTATTATGATTCTTTTAGAAACCCCCAAGCAGGGACCTTTTCAAACCTCTTCTAATATTCCCTCTGTCTGCTCAGCATCTTTGCACCAGTGGGATTTCCAGCCATCTGATGCACACAGACATTGTGCAAGTGTTCCTCTTCCAAGACAGACTGAGCATCCCAAGAACATGAGCACCGTCAGAGGGTCTAGTTAGGCTACAGACACAAAACTAACATGAGGAAAAGAGAGATTAGGCCTACTACAAAACAAGGGACAAGATCATGATCCCAAACTACCTCAACTAAAATATACAACTACCTGAAAGGAGGTTGTAGAGAGGTGGGGGTCGACCTCTTCTTGCTAGTAACAAGTGATAGGACAAGAGGAAATTACACCAGGGTAGGTTTAGGATGGATATTAGGAAAAATTTCTTCGCCCAGCTTCGAAAGGGTTATTAAGCATTGGAACAGGCTGTGGTGGAGTGGTGGAGTCACCATCCCTGGAGGTATTTAAAAGACGAGTAGACATGGTGCTGAGGGATGTGGTTTAGTGGTAGTTTTGGCAGTCTCAGGTTGATGGTTGATGACTTGATGATCCCAAAGGTCCCTTCCAACCTAGACAATTCTATGATTTTACGTTTGTATATTTTATATAAAACCCTGTAATGGCAGTATTCAAGCTGAAAGATAGTAGCCAACAACCTAATCACAATATAATTTTCCCTCTTGTGTCCACGAGTGGCAGGTTCATTTGTCCAGTATTGCTGTTGCCTACCTTGCTGCATAACTAGTGATCAGGTCCCCTTAGCTGCGATGACTCCATGGCACTTAAACCCTTCTGGCTTCCCATTTACTTTTGCCCAAAATTCCTCTAGAAAAAGGGCAGGGTTGGTTCTCCTAACACAGGAAAGACCTTAGTCCTTCATTAGTAGCAGTTTTCCTTTCCAGGATCCATAAATGGGCAGTTAAATCAATTTGCATCCTTGGAAAGTTTCTTATGCTCTACCGAGTCCAACCAAGCCCGTTCTTGCCAAGCAGTTTCACACTGTCGTGGCAGGAAAAACTTCCTAACAGTGAGGTCTCTAGACTGACTCTGGAATAGCCTTGTAATAATAGAGGTGGTGGAAACCCCATCGCTTGGGTCATTTACAACGCGGCTGAACAAGACATTGTAAAACATCCCGTAAAGTACAATCCAGCATGGGTCACATAGTCCTGATGAGAGTCCAAACAAGCCTTTTCCATCTCTGATGTTCCTAAGACTGTAGATGAATCATCTGGTGTATGTTTCTGACCCGTATTTTTTTAACGTTGAATCACTTCACATTTTGACATCTGAGAAGCCCAGAAATATCAAAGGACATACATCTCAAATGTGGTGAAAGAAGGGTGTTTCTATAAGGACACGCTACCCAGTCTGTTTTTTTTATTTTATTCTCAGAGTGCATGCTATGTGCTAAGTCAAGCTTGATGGCCTTCCAACTATTTTTTTTTTTTCCTGAAGAAATTGAGCAAAAATCCCTGCAGGGTTGAATAGGAAAAGAATTAGGTGATATGCACAGTTTTCCTGGGTTTGAATGGGAGGTTATGTTGTAGGAACACACACTTTTTTGACAGCTTGAATGAGCATAGTTTGAAATTATCCTTTAGTAGGTCAGTCCAGCTGATATTAGAAATAAAAGAAGAGCTTGTTTTAAAGGGTTTTCAGGCTGGGTTTTTGCAGCATGAACTTCCAAGATCAGTCTTAGAATAGATGCTCTCCATCCTGCTTCTGCTGACTGTGGTCCAAGCTAGACAAGCGTCTGCTAGAAATAGTGTAGGTATGCCTTTTGCATTGGGGGCAAAAAAGTTTAGTCTGCGAGTGATGTATGAGGTCTTCTGGAGTTGCTTCTAGCCTCGTGTTTGTGTAGTTCCTCCTTCAGATTTTCTTCATACTTTTTTCTCATCAGTCCTGCTTAGATTGAAGAATACTAATGGATTTCTTTTTCCCTGAAGCTGCTGAACTCTTGGCGCGTTTTCGAGTGACCAGCCGCTCAATGTGAACTCACTGTGGTTCTTTGTTCTTGTGTTTGTCTTGGCTGTTATTTGCAGGGAGACTTTGGCGAGGCAGGATTTCCAGGGATTGCGGGCATGTTTGGGCCAAAGGTAAGAGGTGGTCTTGTGACCAGTTGGCTTTCTAGTCTTGCTTTACTGGGGCCACACAATGCAATACTTGTTGCAAACACTTTATTGGCAGCTGTGCAGAAACTATTGACATTTAATTGATTCGAACTTTCTTTAGTTTATGCATCTTCAGTTGTTAAATGAGCCTGCATTTACATATGCTTTGTTGGAGCTTTTTCCTGTCAAAATGGGCAGACGGTAGAGGCCTGTCCTATAGACCCTTGAGCTGTTTTCCCCACCTGAACGTCTTTCAGACACTCATATTTCCAGCATCAGTCATCAGTCTGTACTCGGGACACTGATATGCATTCCTAATGTTGAGAGCCTTGACTTGAAATTTAAAGTCATTTTATCGTATAATTTTCCTGTTGAAGGGAGACTTGTTTGATTTCTGTAGAAGGTAAAGGGCTTGCAAAACAGGAGTGGGAAAAGAATTTTTCAAAAATTGGACCTTCCCATCCCCATATACAAGAGGCAGCACCTCTGTCCTCGCAGCAGAGCTGTGAGAAAGGGCATAGACATGGGGTATGTTTCTTAAGGGGACCACCTGGCATCTCATTTTTGTTTGCAGGGCCCCCCAGGAGACCTGGGTTTCAAAGGCATTCAGGGACCACGTGGGCCGCCTGGTCTCATGGTGAGTGGTTTTTCAGTTTGTTTGGTTTGGGAGGATTTTCTTCCTTCCTCCATCCTTTATTTCTGTGAGGCTACAGGGTGCTATCAGGAGCACAGAGCACCGTTCACCGCGTGCCTGGCAGAGGAGCCACGGCCATGGTACCACCTCTGAGCCACCCGAAAGCATCTGTAGGAAACAACGTGTGCGCAGGTCTCTTCTGCCTTGGAGACAGTCATGCTGCTATGACTACTGCCCAGACCACACCAGCTACACTGAAATCTTTCTATTTCTGGAATTTCTGAGGTTACACATGGGTCGTAACACCCGTACTCTGAAGGCTTGTATCTTCGGACTTGCATTTTGAAACAGTTTTCTTTTAGCTACAGTGAATACTATGAGCATGTCGCTGAAAAGCAGAAAATAGATTTAAGTGTCTTTACTGAGTCTGCTGCAGTAAAAGTGACCGTCAGTTCCCATGTGATGGTTCACACATATCTTCTTTTCTAGGGAAAAGAAGGAATTATTGGTCCGCTTGGCATTCAGGGTCCCATGGGAAGCCTAGTAAGTATCTGGGGTTTTTTCTGCCTGTATTTTTGAGAAGAGCGTAGTGTTTGAGATCCAAGATGCTTGAGGCCAGCATAAGTAAATCCCAAGTCCTGCTGTAACGAGGGAAACAAAATGGTCTTTAAGATCAGCAGCTTGAGAGAAGTGCAGGCTTAGTCTCTGGCTCATATACAGTTGCAGGGAGATTATTAGCTTAAAAGAGAGGAGCAGCTCTACCTAAGTGCAAGTTTTTCGATAGATTGGCTCAAACTAGAAGGCAAGAATGTTATTGCACTTTTTCAAAAGCAAGCTGCCAGATTTTCCAAAGAAGTTGGCCTGAGGGAAAAAAAAAAAAAAAACACACTGATAAATGTATTAAACTGGGAACAGCTTAATTCTGTGAAGTGTTGAAAATCCCTGACTGCCCCAAAATGCCAAAGGTGCTGAACACAGACTAAAGTTCACTCAGCGCTTCGTAAAAACACGAGCGGGAAGCTACTCAGAGTTCAGTACAGAAGCTGCTACTGGCAGAGATGAAAACCAGTAAGATCGACTCGGACATTGCCAAAACATCCAGCAGTGGCAATTTTTTTGCCTCGGGATGGGGGGGGCAATATGGCAACCTGAGCTGGTTGGTTTAGAGATGCAGTTGGGTCCTTGCAAGGCGTTCTGGGTGGCAATGCGTCCTGGCAGTGCAGCTTGCTGATGGTCACTGACAGCCGCCTCGTGTGCTTTAACAGGGGCCCAAGGGAGACAAAGGCAGCCGCGGAGAAATGGTAAGTGCTGGTCCGCACCCCTGGGTGCATCCTGCCGGTCAGAGGGTCCCTCTCTTTGGGCCACCGAGCGTCCCGCTGGGCTCCACTGCACCTGCGTGGGCTCTGGCTCAGTGTGGTGGCATCGGGCTCCCACGAGGGCAAGACATACACACCTACACACGTGTGCACACATGTATGTGCACCTAGATCCACGTCTGCACATAAACGCCCGCTCTGCTGTTAAAAATTTCCATTTACTTAACCCAAGTACACAGCAAAAGCTAATACTTTACAGATGACCGTGGCATCTCCAGGAACTAACTGCAGTGAATGGCAGCTCAAAAAGCCACAGGCTGTCCCTGCCAGCGGCACGGGACCTGTCTAAGTGGCAGCAATGCCCGGGTGTTGGGGCAGCAGTGCCAGAGCATCTTCTCACCTTCTGCTTTTCCTCTGGTCCCCTCCTTGCCGGGGCTCTGATGGACTTTTACACCTTCTCATATGTCCTTGGTGTTCTCACCATGCAGGAGATGTGTGGGGTACACTGGATACCTGTTGTTCATCCTCCTCCTTACCCGTACCGCAGGTGTCCCTGCTCTCCAGGTTGCTCCCTTTAGCAACCAGTGGTTTTTTCCTGCATGCGGGGCTTGGCCCAGGCATCGGGGCCCGGCAAACACAGCTGTGTGCAGAAGACTGTTTCATGCCTTCTTCACACGAAACCTCTTATAAGCAAGTGCCCCACAGACACCTAAAATCCCAGTTCACATTTCTAACAAGCCAGGGTCCCACCTCTATTTCTTTTTGCTCACCATTTTCCACCCCTGTGGGCACAGCAGAGGGCAGGGTGCTGGCAGGGACCTGACCCCCAGAGCGAGCATTTGCTGGTGTCAGAGCCATCAGCATCCTTGGCTGCAATAACCTCTCTGCTGTTGGCAAACGCCGTCGGGCCCCCGTTTTCACTGTCCTTCCAGTGCAGCACCCGGTCCTTGCGCAGGCACGTTGGGAACAGCACACAGCTGTACAGGGAGATTTTGGGTTATTAATGAGCATCTTCTGACAGCTTCTTCCTTCCTCTTTTTTTTTTTTTGTTTTTTCTTTCTTTTTTCCCCTACAGGGTCTTCAAGGTCCAAGAGTAAGTATTTGAAATCACTTTTTTTCTGACTAATATCTTGTATTTAAATAAAACAGTTGCTTTTAGTAAATGTAAAGCTGCAGGGTGGGTAAATGTGCACACAGGGAATGTGACAAGTACCTGGGGATACGGCATTAATGGTAGTTAAGGAGCCAAGGGCTGGGAACAAGGGATGCAGTAGGAACGGACCAGGTGCATGCAGATGGACAAAATGGGGCCACCTCCTGTCTCCAGAAGGGTTTGAGGGAGAATATGCTTTAAATTGCCAAAAATCTGGAGGATTTCAGAAGGAAACAGACTCATGCTGGTGATAACCATGAGAAATGGATATACAAACTGGAGATGTCTCACTAACTGACACCACTCTCTCTTTAGGGTCCTCCAGGCCCACGAGGACACCCTGGCCCTCCGGTACGTATATGTGGAAAGAGTTCAAAGGCATTATTGAAATGAGCTAAAATTATTGCCATGATACTCTCCAGAGGGACTCTTCACTCACTGGAAATTATAGCTTAGCCCCATTCCTCGTATGCAAAAATGTGTGCGTGAATGGACCAGTGTTTCTTGCACTTTAGTCCAAACCATCTCCAAGTATTTTATAGAGACAGCATTGTTGCCTCTCTCACTCGTCTGCATTGAGGGACTCCAGGGGAAAGAGGATTTCAAAAGGATGTGAATGAGTATCTTTGCAACAGTGACTGCCCGTCTTTCTGGCTGATGCCTCTTTTTTGCTTTGATTTCTAGGGACTGCCAGGAATTCCAGCCTCATTTGTAAGTAGTCGTTTTCTGTACGTTTGTTAATGATGATAATAAGTTGTGCAGAGCCAAGGTGCTGACGGGACAATCCAGAAAGAGCTGCTGAGACCCTGAAGACACACACTCAGGTCCAGCAAGAGATGCTGTTAGCAGAGCAATGCTTGAATGGCAGCCCTAGACCGAGAAGCATTTGCTTGCATCAGGGCACGTTTCAGCTTCTAACAAACTCAGTTACCATCTTTTTCACCCCATGCTAGCAACAAGATGGCTTTGGGGCAGCTTTCCGGACACTAATCGACTCAAACACCGCGCTCAAGACAGAGGTATGAGGGTACTTTTGAACTTGCTGGTCTTTGCTGGAGCTGGAGGCTGGGAACAGTCACGGTGTTGCTTGTTCCTCCTGAGTGCTTAAAGTTCATACACACAAAGCTCTGATTTGTCGCTGTGTTCATGGAATAACTGGGGTTTATGCACGCAAAGATCCAGTTAAAGGATGTGGTTCTGTTGTGTTACTCGTTTGTGAAGTTTCAGACTTTGCCAGCGCTTCCGAGATGTCCCATTTGGGACAGCACGAGGGCTGTAGCTCACTGGATCCCAGCCAGCACAGTCCGTCTTTGGCCCACTGAGTTTTCCCCCAGATAAGCCTGAAACCCTTGTGGTTACAGCACCTGGTGCCCCAAGGCACACCTTCTTTTCTCTCCAGGGTTACCAACATCCAGACCTTTTCATGCTGGACCATGGAGGGGAGATCTTTAAGACTCTACACTACCTCAGCAACCTCATTCAGAGCATCAAAAGACCCCTGGGAACCAAGGAAAACCCTGCACGCATCTGTCGAGACCTCATGAACTGTGAACAGAAGATGAATGACGGTAGGAAGCCCTGAGTGTGCAAAGGCTGCATCCTCCGTAGGGCTTTCACATGGCCCAAACAGGTCTCCTTCCCTGGGACCAGTAATGCAGACATGAAAACTTTCCTTTTCTCATTCACAGAAAAGTTTATATCTGTGTTAATCCCCGAATCCTCCGTTTCTTCAGGTATCTACTGGATTGACCCAAATCTTGGCTGTTCCTCGGACACCATACAGGTCATCTGTAACTTCACCAATGGTGGTCAGACGTGTCTCAGCCCCATCACCGTCTCCAAGGTACACACAGATTGACCCCAGCACGGCATTTCCCATACTACTATTACAAAATATTTACCCAAGGGTGTGTTGTCCCGGGACACCAGGAGGTGACCACTATGACACAGCATGCTGGTTTCTCCTCCAGGCAGAGTTAGCGTAGCTGTAACATTCAGAACTGCGCTCACGCAGTTAAAAAATATCCCTAAGACTGTTATTGACTCTTGTCAAGACAAAGCAGTACATTTCCAGCAATGTTTAATCAACCCATAACCTTAACAGAGGCCAGTAATTTTGCAAACGCACTGCTCCCAAATGCTGTGTTGAATTAGCTTACGTTCAGGTCACTCTTGCATTTTGTTTTCTGCCACCTGAAAAAGTGACACCAGCTTAAATATACAAGTTTCAAGTGAAGTTAATGCTACATGATTTTTCTTGAGGAAGCACCAGTACCAAAAATACCAATAACGATATCTGGGTTCATCTGCAGATGAACTAGAACCTGATGCTTTGAGGCGTCGCTTCTTTGCAGAAGCGTGTATTGAATTAAAAATTTTCATGATTTTCCTCCTACTTAAGGACCTGCCAGTTTGTTCTGAAAAATAAAGGCCCTGCTGTGTCCCCATGAAAACTTTCCAGATTGACTTGGCATCTGGCCCTTACGCCCATACTGATGCCAGCCCCAGTTCTGAGCTTGCACATCCACGCATGGCCACCTCCAGACTCAAGCAGAGTACAGGGACCACCTTTGCTGTCACATCTTGCACTAACCTTGCCGCTAGCTGCCTCCAGCCCCGCTGCAGGGGGTTCACCCTAACGTCTCTGTCACCTCCACAGCTGGATTTTGACATCGGTAGAGTCCAGATGAACTTCCTCCGCCTCCTGAGCTCAGAGGTGGTGCAGCACATCACCATCCACTGCCTGAACACCTCCGTCTGGCGGGAAGGCTCATCCGAGAAACCTTTGGAAAAAGCCGTGCGCTTCAAGGCATGGAACGGGCAGATGTTTGAGGCAGACGGACAGCTCAGGCCAGAAGTGGCAGCTGATGATTGCAAGGTATGTTGCTGCGAAGGAGGAGGGATGGAGAGAAGCGCCTGAACCTACTCAGGGCACACGACAAAGCTCGATTTATACCTGCGCTGCTTATTCTCCCCAAAAAAAGGAGGAGAGGGATCTAGTTTGCCTGGTCACCACTTTAATTTTCCAGTCCTGGGTGGTATATCGGCTCCTGTTAAGTAGATGGCCTTCAAACAGAAAGCAAAAATTAAATTCCAAAGTTACAGGTCACATGTAGCAGCAGTTAAATGGCATAAGGGGGAATTGCCACCCGAAGGCGGTGTCCTCGACCCTTGCCTGCCACCACGCTGAGTCGGTAGCCGTGTGTCTGCATTTTGGATTCACTGCATTAGGAGTTTGTCTTTGCTGATGCCATTCCAAGTTTGGTTTCCACCAACTCAGCCTGGATAAAGGGTTGCCCAAAATGCTTCCCAAGCCTCTCCCCAGCCCTGCTCACCCCAGCGGGCAGCCCCTTGTCTCACACAAGGCTTTTCAACTTACACCTCGGTGAAACACATTCCTTTCCAGCAGGATTCGCCCCCCCAGTTCCACAGCTTTTTCTGTCTTTCCCTCCTCCCTGCACAGATCAAGGATGGACGCTGGCATCGGACTCTCTTTTCGTTTCGGACGCAGGACCCTCAGCAGCTGCCAATTGTCAACATCTACAACCTTCCCCCATCCGAGCCAGGAAAGCAGTATCACCTCGAGGTCGGCCCCGTGTGCTTCCTTTGAACAAAGCCATCGAAACCGGGCTCCGAGGCTTTGACCCCGCGTTTGGCCTATGTCTTTACACAGGCTCTCCCACCTCTCTGCAGCAAGGACAGCTGGGCTGTAGCTTTTGGGTCAACTCTCGCCCTAGCCTTTGGCTCAAGGTCTCAAAGAACCCGTCATCTACTGAACTCAGCAGATCGTTGAAAGGAGGAATAACAGGGACGTAGGGGAAGCGGGTATCAGTCGGGACGTGAACAGTGAAAAGGGATCGGGGGACTAGATGTTGCAAGGGGTTCCAGACACAAAGCTTTTTCCATGACCAAAGAAAATATCGAGAGAAACCTCAAGCAACTTGCGGCGTGTGGGTTTCACACCACCCCCCATGGTGTCTTACCTGGTTCCTGAGTTACCAAATGTTCTTTCCATTGAAAAGTAATTAAAAGATAGAGCTTCCCTCTCAGAGCTTGTCGCCTTCTGGATGGCCACGCGCTGCATCAGGTCTCCCAGGCGGAGCTGCAAGTTGAATCTGGCTGCTCTGTGTACCGGAAGCATTTTGATGTGCAATATTAGAAGAAACAAAATATATATTATTATATTATTTAAAGCAAAAAAAAAAAAAAAAAAAAAGAAACAGGAAAAAAAACTAAGTTCCTCCTTCCACGGGTGAGTTTAATCAACATCCCTTCTCATGCATGGTGTTGGGGTAAGGGAGAGTCCCGAAGCCAAGAGGGGGGAATGGAAGGAGGAGAGGGGAAGAGATTGGTGCTAAAATAGAGAGAGAGGATGGGCTCGTCTGATTTGTTTCTACCTCTCACTGTGAAATCTCTGGTGCTCTTAAAAAAAGTGTGTTATTTTATATATATGACTTTAACTATTTAAGGTTGTGAAGGTGCTACAGTGTCTTGCCACAGACCCAAAAAAAATAAAAAAGCCCACAGGACCATCTCTCTAGGAAGAGAGGAGGTTACAATCTACAGCTAAATCAGAGAAAGTCACCTTTAAAGGGATCCTTTAATCACCGTGGATGTCAATCGTGGGCAACAACTCAAAGCGCATCCAAAACAACTTACAAGATATTTTAAAAGCAGATTTGCGCTTCTTCTTCTGTTGTTGTTGTTGTTGTTAATCAGCACTTCACGGCTTTGGGAGGGGAGTGAGGGATGCAGCTCATCTGGAAGCATTGAGCCTCAGAGAGCGCTATTTTTGAGTCAGTTGTCATGTAACCAGTTTTGCTGTAGTGGCGTTGGCCACGCGTCCGTGCCGGCTCGCGCGTGCAGCGATTCCCTGGTCTAAGCTCGTATTTAAACCCAGCTCTGCAAGCCTTCTGCCGGGCCCCTCCGCCAAGACTGACATGCTGGTACCTTGTTTCAGAACCCAGCCGGGCTTGGAGGGGTTTTGTTTTGTTAAGTTTTGTAGAAATTTAGTCTCTATATGTAAATTTGGAGGAATTTTTTTTTTTTTTAAAGAGGATAATTATGGTAATCTTTAATTCTATATAAGGAATAATATTGATGTAATCGGAGCTGTACTGTATCGGAAACGCTTCAGTGCCTGTTTGGAGTTTTCATGTCTCATATGGACTATGGATTTTATTTTTTTGAGGAAAAAAAAAAATTATATGTGAGTCTCTCTTTGTGTATTCTTTTTTTTTTTTTTTTTTTTTTTAACTACTGCCTGCTGGTTGGTTTCCAACAATCATCAGAAAAGGTTAACAAGATCTGTCCCAAATACCTCACCCTCTGTGCAGCCCTGCCTCTGCTCAGAAATACCTCACACACACACCCCCCGCGGGGCCGGCTCGTCCCGGCACCCCCAGGCCAAAATCACCATCGCTCATCGCCCGCTTGCTCCCTCCCCGCGCGCACACACACACACACACACGCTCCCGGGTTTCTCCCTCTCTCATCCTCTCACCATCATTTTTGTGTGTTTTCTTGAGGCTTGAGTTACCGTTTGTTCACATTAAAGCTTTTCTCATTTTCTTTTCTTCTTTTCCTTTTCTTTTTTTTTTTTTGGACTTTAAATAAATATTTAAAACTGAGGCAATGAAATGGGACTGGTATGTTTTTTTTTGCTTCTTCACGGGAAACTAAGTGGGTGAGAGGTGCGGAAATAGCCCGTGGGTGCCAACGTTGGTGCAAGAACCCAGAGACCCCCCCAGGGGAGCCCAACCCACACCCCAAAACCCTTCCTCTGGTCACAGCACAACCTGCCCAGCCCTCGGCAGAGCGCTAAAGGCACAACAAAGCTGGGAGCCCGATGGCTCCCCACTGCTCTGCGTCACCCCACCGCCCCACCAGCCCGTTCCTCAGCCGCCTCCCCATCCCAACACAGTGACGGGGAGCAAGAAGAAAGAAAACAATCAATTAAAATAAAATAATAAAAAAAAAAAAGCTCAGCTGATCTTTTTCATTGCTGAAGCCCAAATCACATCTCAATTGCCCCAGGCTGATGTTGAAACTTGACTTCTTGCTTAGGAGGTCGCATCTGGGCCCGTTCCTCGCAGCGCTCCTGCGGACAGAAAGGCTGAGGGACACCCCTCCACCCACACCCCCCCCGGTGCGGTGGAGCTGTGGGGTGAGGGCACCAGGGCAGCTTTCTCAGCACGTTAAAAACCAGCTTGTTTGGGGCTGACCGTCGCTCACGTGAGCCAGCCGTTCCCGAAACACGTTGCTTACGGGCAGAGAAAAAGCAAACACATTTCCTAAATAAATCAATGCACTTAATTATGAGGCCAAAGTTGGAGGAGACACCGTTAAATAGAGCGATCTGCACTTCAAGAAGTTGCAATTTATTTATTTTGTGCAAAGGCTGAGCCCACTGCACCAGTTGTTCCCTTGCCACATGCTCCCCCGTGCCCCCAGGCAGAATTTATTAAACAAGTTCCTGTCTTTACCATTTATTTTAGACTGCTTAAAATTTTCAGTTACGTTACCAGCACCCACAGCCCAAAGGCAACTTCATCACTCCAAGGCTGGGCTGAGACAAGCCACAAGCACCGCGAGGCTACCAGCACACAACGGGGAGGTCAGCGGGAAAGGGCCAAAAAAAAAAAAAAAAAAAAGCCCACAGCCCACATTTCATGGCTTTAGGGATCCCACCACAGCTGCCGGGGTAGGGTTGGCTCAGGAAAGTGGCACCACTGGTGAGGGGAAAGAGACGTTGGGGTTTGGTTTGTTCTTAAATGGTGCAGCTTATCCCAGAATCACAGCCTGCTTTGGGTTGGAAGGGACCTTTGAAGGTCCCCGCGGTGAGCAGGGACATCTTCAACCAGATCAGGGTGCTCAGAGCCTCCTCCAGCCTGACCGTGAATGTTTCCAGGGATGGGGCATTGACCACCTCTCTGGGCAACCTGGGCCAGTGTTTCACCACACTCCGCGTAAAAATTTTCATCCTTCTATCTAGTCTTTGTCCACCCTCTTTTAGTTCAAAGCCATTACCCCATGTCCTATCACTACAGGTGCTGCTAAAACAGTCTGTCCCCACCTTTCTTAGAAGCCCACTGGAAGGCCGCTATAAGATCTCCCCGGAGGCTTCTCTTCTCCTGGCTGAACAACCCCAACTCTCCCAGCCTGTCCCCACAGCAGAGGGGCTCCAGCCCTTGCAGCATCTCCATGGCTGTCCCTGGATCTGCTCCCACTGCAGAGCCCAGTCATGGCCCCATCCACAGCGGCACCCATACAATCCCAACTCCAGTTCCCCCCCAAACCCACACACAAACCCCAGCACCGGTCCCATGCCCCGTTGAGGAGCAAAGCTGGTGCAGACCCAAAGCCCTTACAGCTCCATGGCACCACCAACCATCGCCGTGGGGATTTATTTGCCCCGTGGAGGAAAGCCATGTCCAGGTGCCATTCGGTGTCCCCGAGGCCCCACTCACAAACACACCTGGAGCCACCCGAGCGCTTCGCCGGGCACCCGCAAGATTAATTGCAGTTTCCCAGAACAAAAGCTTGCATTGGTGAAACACAAAGGTTGGGTTTGGGGTTTTTGTTAGTTTTTTGAGTGTTGGGTGGTGGGTTTTTTTTTGTTTTAATCTTTTCTACTGGAGAAACACAAGCTTTTGCAAGTTTAATTTCCTCCACCTGCTATTGCTTCATGCCTGAGCAAACAGCCCAGCGGCTGAACAAGCACATCGGGGCTGGGGACGTCCAGCTTTGCAGGCGACCGTATTTAAGAGACTGAGACGAGCAACAGCCCGTCAGAGCAGGAGCCTCCTCTCGGCCAGCCCGGCGATGCTGGCCACCCTCACCCTCCTCCTGGGGCTGCCGCTCGCCCTCGCCGCCGAGCCCCCCACCTGCGCCCCGCTCGTCACGGTCACCTTCGACAACGCCACCATCCCTGGGGTAAGCCCTGTCCTCTCCTTTCCTATCAGCATCGCTAGCCCTTACGGGGCCAGGGAGAGGTTATGAACCTGATCAGCAGCTCAATGCTTACCTCGCTGCCTCTCCATGCTTATTTTCCTTAAAAAAAAAAAATTCAAGGCTGCTGCACAGGAGCCTGGGGAGGGGGTGAAGCCTTGCAGCTCTGCACCCATAAACTCATGAGCAGAGGCTTTTGGGGGGCTCCTGCTGCCATCTCCCTGTGCAAACCAGGCTGGGCAGCACCAGCCCCAGCGCTTCGCCGCTCTATTTTAAGTCCTTTAAGTGATGGGACCTCAGGTCACAAGTCTCCATCTGCAAACCCTTCACTGCATAAACTGTATTTAGTCCCTTGGGGACGTTTAATGAGAGGAAAGAGACGAGAGCCGGGCACAGAGCAGGAGGGACACGGTGGCCATCCCGGGAGCTGGAGCATCACCTTAGCAGGGAGGGGACAAAACCAAGAGCCCCTCACCCGGCCCAGATCCCACCCGGGGTGGTCACCTATGGGGGTGCTGGTGGCCACGGGACGGCAGGGCAGAGCGTCTGCTTTTACTCCCACACTGCCCACGGCTGAACCCGGCACGGCCCCCCCCAACCCTTCCCTGCTCCCCCTCTCCGCAGATCCTGGGACAGTGGATCTACATCGCCGGTGCCTCCAGGTATGCGCCTCACCTGGCAGAGCTGAAGGCAGTGAAACACGCGGCTTTTTCCTTCTCTCCCGGCAGCCACGACGATGAGCTCAATGTCACCGAAATCATGAGACTGTAAGGATGGGGATTCGCCCCCTCACACCGCTCCCCTGTCCCCAGGAGTATTTCCACCCACTGGTACCATCCTCTGGGCTCAGACACCCCCACAAATTTGGGGTGGGAGAGCAGCTATGCCAAATTTATTTAAGCTCAGCAGCACAGCTTGGGTTCTGAATCGCTCGGGTTTGGCTGGGGCAGTTTAGGGGGGGTGTTCGCCCTATCTGACCTCTCTGCCCCACAGGAACGAGACATGCGTGGTGAAGAACACCAGCAAGATCCACATCTTTTGGCACAACTCCACCCTGATGCACGGTAAAGCCCCGGTGGTGGTGCGGGGACAGGATGGCGGGGGCAGGGGGGGCACCGCACCCGCACCTTGCACCCTCCTGCTTCTGCCCCCCCGGTATTTGGCACCCTGAGCCCCCCGGTACGAGGCCATTTTACACATAAAAACATGTCTAAAGGTGGGGGGAAAAAATTTCCCCCACCCCATGCGATGGGTACGGCAGCACTGTGGGACCAGACTGGTCTCCACTGGGATGAGTGTCCCGGGGTAAAGGGGATGAGCAGTCCCCAGTCGCGCTGACGGCTCTGCCCAGGCTGAGCCCCAGCACAGGGAAACACTCGCTGATGGGGAACCCCTCTCTCCCCGCACCTTCCAGTCGATGGCCAGGTGGCTTCCACGGCCGAACTGATCCAAAGCGACAAGGAGCTGCTGATCATGAAGCACCCCAACACCAACTCCCCGGGTCTGAGCCTCTCAGGTGAGCAGATGCTGCCCGGGGTGCCTGGGGCACATCCCTGCCTGGGGACACGTCGATGGGCACGGGCATCCCCAACCCTCACAGACAGGGCAAAAAGCCCCTTTTCCCCCCCAATATGGAGAGGGAAAGATGGGGGCAAGCAGGCAGCGAGGTCCCCATCCACACCATGGGGACCACCAAGGAGCACAGCACCCCCTAAAACTCCCTTTCCCCCCCGCCTTCTCCTCCTCCCACCCCCTTTCTCCGGCAGCACGGACACCCAACGTGAGCAAGGAGCACCTGGAGGAGTTCAAAGCCCACCTGCACTGCCTGGGCTTGACTGATGAGGACGTGTTCTTCACCTCTGAAAAGGTCCGAACCCCTCCCCAGGGTCCATCCCGGGCCAGCTCCTGCCCCCGGCGGGGACCTCCAGCCGGGGGGGGGAACGGAAGATCGGTTCCCCCCTGCAGCCCCTCTCCTCCCCAGTCGGTCCTGGCTCTTGGGGTGGTTTTGGGGCAAGGGGACACCAACGGCCGCTTTCCCCCTCTCCCACAGGACTCCTGTGGGCTGCCCGGGGAGAAGACGGGCGAAGGTGACGCAGAGCCGCAGACGGGGTAACCCCCCGGGGTCGGGTCGGCTGCTCCATCCTCATCCTCCTCCAGCCCCTCTGTGGGGACATCCCTGCTCACCAGCTCAGCCTCAGGACTTTCTATGGAGGTTTTGTTTTTTTCTCCTCCTGGATGAAACACCCAGTTTTCCTGTTCTCACCCGGACCCGAAATAAACCCCCGTGTCACCACCGCCTGCCGCTCCTGCTGCATCCTCCCTGGGAGCGCAGACAGGACCCCCTCCTGCCTGCCCTGCCCACGACGCCGCCTCTCCCAACCTGCTCAGAGGCGTGAAAAGCCGTAGACGAAACCCCACCTGAGCACGGAGATGCTCGTCTCTCCTGCCAGCTCCGTGGTGGCATGGGACCCTCCTGGCCACCTCACCCGGGGTGTCCCCTCCAGCCACGGGGCGCTGGGATGCGCCATCAGCCCTGACACACAAACCTGCCGACCCCCTCAAGTCTCCCCCGCCATGACTCAAAGCAGCCAAAGTCCTTTTAGCACCCAAACATCCCAAACTCAAGTTTTTCAAGTGAAATCCCACGAGCCTCCGCCGGCGCAGGGGCCACAGTGGGGTGGGGTGACACGGGGTGACATTGCACCTTCCCCCGGCGTCTCTCAGCAGGGGAAGGGGGAGAGGATGGGTAAAACCATCACCCAGGGCCAGACCGAGGAATTGGGGAGGCTCTGCTACCGGAGAGGAAAAGGCAAACAGAAATAAATCCAGAAAAGCCTTTCCTGCCCTGCCTGGTGGCAACCTTCCTGCCCAGGAAGAAGGTGGCTCTTTGAAGCCCCCACGGGCTTCCCCCAAGATCGGGGTTGGGGGGACCCCCCCCAGCACCGGGGTGGGGGGGCTGCATGGTGCCCTATTTGCGGAGCAGGAGGGAACTACGTTGGCTCACGGGGAACAAAATGGGCAAATTTAAGGCAGATTTTAGTTTCAAATGCAGCAAGTGCCCACAGCTACCCATGCTGCGGTCGCCGCCGGCAGCCAAGACCAGGGCTTGGTGCGGGCACGTGGCTCTTCTCTGGGCAACGTCCCCAAAAGGTGCTGCTTGCGTCAGCGCCG